TCATTAATTCGTAATTGCTCGACATTTAAATTTGTATACTTTAAAAGTAATTGTGTATATACAGTGTTACGCTTATAACTGAAAAATAAAAAAATATGTTTTAATTAGCACACCCTATAATTTATTTCAGTTTTTGAAATGGCCCGGTAATACTGTTTTAAACCCTGGAATAATTTTAAAATTATTACAGGGTTGCCAAACTATATATATTTTTTTAAATTAGGGAATGATGCAGATCCTAAATAAAATAATTATAATTTGGATAGGTTAGCAATTATTTCAAACTTGTTTAAAATACATTCTAATAAGGTACCAAGCTAACGAATAGTTATGATAAAAATGGTTTATTTTATACAGAGTGTGGTACAATGTGGTTCAATTTACTAAATTTTTTCAAATGATATTTTATTACATGTTAGCCTCTTCAGTGCGTAATTAATTGATAACTGTTTTAATATTGGAGATACGACGAACGAACTTTAAATACAAAAATTGTACCTGCTGAACGACAATATTTTAAAATTATTGGTAAATATACGTGGTAGTCCATCAATGGAAAATAAATAAAATAATAATTGAATTGATAGTATAAAATACAGGGTATTCCATTTGAAAAACTTGAGTTCCTAAATCGTAAGAACGCGTTTAGGAACACCCTGTATACATCATAGCAAATGAATGAAAATGTTAAACATTTTAACGAACTTGAGGTCTATTAAAATTGTTTGACGATATGAAAACAATAAAATCTGTTATTCGTTATTTACTGTGAATTTAAGATAAAACTGCTTTTAGGATCTGAACCATCCAGTACATCGTAACTTCAAAAGGTTATAACTTTTTGTAAGAATTTTTGTATATAACCAGGAAAGTATTTAGAAAACAAAAGAACCGTAAATTATGAAGAATATAAAAGACAACGAACAAAAGTAAAAGAAACAATAGAAACATATTGGACAAAATTATACAAAAAATTAGAAGAAGACAATCTAGGCAATCAGAAATTGTTTTGTAGAATTCTTAAAATACGCAGAAGAGAAAAACAATGTAACTTCAAACATATAGAAACGAAAGAAGGAAAAGTAATAGCTGAAGAACAAAATATTAAATAAAGATTGAAAGAACATTTTGAGGAGATTTTGAACCCAGAAATAATAATCCAACAACCAGAAGACATATATAATCAAGATAGTCAATACCAAATAAATGGAATGGAAGAAATTACCAATCTAGAAGTTGAGGAAGCAAGAAACAAAGTAAAGCAGATCACGATGTAATTTCATTGGAAATGGTAAAAAATTAAGGAATACAAGGAATGAAAAAATTAACACTTTTACTTAATAAAATCTACTGATAGGCGAATACCGAGTAAATGGTAATTGCACAAGAAAAGTGATAGATAATGGAGAATTTTTAAACTATAGAGGCATTACAATATTCAGTACAGTGTCAAAAGTTTATGAGAATCCTTAAAAATTTGTACATGAGATACAAAAATCAACACCTTAACACCTTAGGGTATATTAAGATTCCCTTGGTATAAAATACAATTCTAACCAACTAGAATATTTGATATAATTTATGACAGGCCTTTTTCTTTGATCCATATTATATAAAAACATAATCCGGTTGCAAGAACGTTCATTCTTATTTGAAGGTCTATCAATTCTTGGTTCTAAGGTTTTCTTGGACTCTAAGTTTTGGTATTGTTTCCATGGATTGTTGTCGTCGTCTCAAGGTGTAAATTAGTCTTCTTTCTACGCTATCTGTAATGGAGGGCAGGATAATATTTTTGCTTTTCAGCAAATAAAAATAAGAAGGCATGCCCGAGTTTCATAAAGACTTTTGATGATATTAAAAGAAAAGAGATTTTGAAAATTCCCCGAAGAAAGTGTAGTAAAAATAAATATTTCGTTACTATCCAAACAGACGTTGATAATGCGTTCTTGGTTACAGCAAACAATTCTCTATTAACAAATTACGTATAAAACATTTTACTTCCATATTTAATTCGGTATTATTCGTTATATACGTTTTTATTGTGGGCGTAATTATTATTAATATGTTTTTACAACCTGGAAAAATGGCCATATTAAAAATATATGGTAAATATAAACAATAATAAAAATCCTTATCGTGCAATAATTATCCTTAGTTAAGTCATAATTTTTCTATATTATAATTCCGCAACTAACACGTACCACTAAATGAATCATAAAATCATTAAAGTCATTAACGATTATTAATATTAACAACGGAAGCAACGTTAGTTGTTATAACGTTCACTTTCTTTGAATTCCAACATCATATTAACTGTTATTTTAGGTTTCTGGTACAAGCGAGTACGATAGTACGACTTTTCCTTGACAGATAAAAAACTTAAACCAGTTATTCTTATTATTTATTAAATAAAAATCAATAAAGAAGTGGTTTGGTAGATCATTAAAACAGAACAATCATTGTCGGAGTCAAAATTACTTAAATTTTATGTTAATTTTATTTATTTTTACACCACCCAACAGCGAACCATTTACAGGGTGGGAACTTACATAGTTTATAAATAAATATACATATACAGTGTGTGCTATAAAGTTAAATCCATCCAATAATTTTGAAAACAAAAAATGACCGAGATGATAAAACTACAGCTGAATCTTACAAATCATATCTCCTTTTATTGAAGAACCTTCAACTTAGGTAATTCATAAATCTACGGAATATGGTATATGGTCATCAAGAAACTATTTTCGTTCCCGTTTTCAAAAAAAGATGGCTATACCAATTATCAGTACATTTCCCTTCTTTCCAGTCTTTCGAAGGTCTTTGAGCAATGCTAGATATTTAAACAAATACAAATTACTATCTAACTACCAATGTGGATTTAGAAAAAAATCTACTGAGAATGCTTTATTGGCTCTGACAGAAAAACATTAACAATGCTCTTGGCGGAAGCAAACCCTGTCTTTACTTGTTTCTGGACCTGTCAAAGGCCTAGGCCTTTGACTCCATCAGTCATCCTTTATTTGTTGATATTCTAGTAAACTATGGCATAAGAAATAATCCTCTAAATACATTTAAAACATATTTATATTTATTGTAATAAAACCTAATGGTTTTAATACAGTGATTTCTTATTGGTAAGATATGGGATTCTCCAAGGTTCTATTCTAGGCCCACTCCTTTTTTTTTTTTTTTTTTTGAATGAGTAAAACCAAATTTGTATATCAGCAATCTGTTTTTAATTAAATCTAAAGGTGAATTTCTGGACTTTGCAGACAATACAGCTATTTTTTTATACCAGTGACACAATATTTGGTCGAGATTGAGTTTCCAGAAATTCAAAATTGGTTTGACTCAAAACTAACTATTAATGTAGAAAACACATTTTGCTTATTATTTTTTTTTTTGTAATAAACCATCAGCACCTTTCTTTAATAATCTAAATTTTAATAATAATAATAACTGTCACTTTAGAATTTACCAATTAACAAACATGAAATAATTAGGAATCTACCTAGATTGCTATCTTAAGTGGGATGAACATATTGAGGTATGTTCTTTTAATATGGGGTAACGTTTTAGAAACTTATATGAGTACACTGGAAATCAGCCAATGAAGGTTCTTAAAACTGATGTTCAGTAAAGATTTAATATACCCAACAATCCTGCTGTATGCTGAATCAAAAATTCTAGATATCCGACAACTTTTTTATTTAGGGATATAAACATATATTATCATTGTAACAAAAAATGTATGCAACTACAACACTCCTACATTATACGAAATAAAAATGATACTTTTTATAATTATTTTACACATTTAGGTAGAGTGGGAACCAGTACGCAAAATGAGACTTTTTGCAATCTAGTCGTGAGATCGGAACATAAAGGTCAATAACGATGACAGTCCCGTTATATCAGATTGGATGACAACCTTAAATATGTCAAAGAAGATTGATGGGTTCTATTTTTTTTTAAAGCCACACTTACAGCAGCACAATATTTTTGTTATGATTTCGATATTAAATGAATTTGTTACTTTTTTTGTTGCAGTATTATTTCTTTGTTTGCGTTACAACTTAATACATCACAGGCGATCTGGGGAAGTGTCTGCATGCCGATGCATGTTTATTCCAGACGATGCTGTTTAGTAGGTTGTTGAAGAATTGAAAATTTTATGTACACGAGGTTGGATTTGAAATCTTATATCGATAGTCTAATTCTAATACCCCGTATCTGCAAAAAATTCAAATTTCACTTTTTCGCGCCATTCGGTTGTACATTTACTCTGTCATTAGTTGTTAAAATACATCGTATTGGCTTTGGAAAATATTTACATGAGAAATTTGACCACTCTAATAAACCTTATTGTAATCATATATAGCACTATTAAACGAAAAAAAGATTCTCCAGTAAAATGTCAATCCATGCAGTTACGGGGTATTAGAATGAGACCATCGATATTCATCCTTTCAAATGGGAAGTAAGTGAGTATGTCTCTTATAGCTCAGTTGGTACGAGCGATTTGCGTAGAACACGCATAGGTGGTTTCTAATCCACTCGAGAACAGAATTTTTTCAATTTTTCATCAAATTTGTTCTCACCTTGGTGTTCAAAAATAATTTTATTTAATAAAAATTATTTCTTAGGAGTAATATTAGGATTTGTTTGGGGATTTCCAATGAATTTATCACCCTTAGTTTTCGGATCTTTAGCCGATAAGTTTCCGAAACTTTTAAAACCAATTGTCTTACTAATATATTTCGATAACAATGAAAATGTCAAGTAATAAATGTCATTCTATGGAAGTGGCAAAAGAAGCAACCCAGAACATTTAAATTTCACAGCCAACTCCGATTAGAATTTTCCTATTTCTAGAAATTTCCATATCTTTACCTATTTATACCGGAACTAAGTCAAAAAGCGGATGTCTCTGCATTATATTATTAATAATGACTCGATCACAAATACCTAACATTAGTTTTTATTTTTCTTTTCAGCATGATCCTCGGACATTGCCTTCTTCCTTTACTTGTCACTTCGATATTCTTTACTCTAACCAATGGGCATGGTAGATTGATAGAACCCCCAAGTAGAGCGTCTGCCTGGAGATATGGCTTCAATACGCCTCACAACTACAACGACCATGAATTGTTTTGTGGAGGATTCACTAGACAATGGGTAAAAAATGAAGGAAAATGTGGAGTGTGTGGAGACCCGTGGGATGCAAAGTAAGTATTCAAAAATTGGTAAATATTGAAGTAGATGATTAATTTGCAGTGCGGCAATTTTTAAAATAATTATAATCATACCTACCTAAAAATTAACAAACTGCAATCTAATTGAAAGAAATATTTTATCAGGACAATATCCCTATAAATTAATGTTTTACAAAATTATGTATTTTGGTTTAGAAATTATTGTTGCATCCATCTTATTCACTGAATATAAGAACGCCACAATTTGATATTCTTCGGTTTTTCCATCAAGTCGAGATAGATTTTGAAGCCTGCAGCTGCTACCAAAATAAAGAAAAAGTGCCTGAAGCTTAAATTTGGCTTACATTGCTAGTTTTAATGAAAAATAAAATGGATAATGACTAGTAGTCATAAGAATGAATTTAGCTCTCGATAAAATCGTTAATTTTCTTCAATTATTATTGTATCGCCCTACCATTATATTTATCATTATATTTACCATTATATATACCATTAAATTTACCATTATATTTACCATTATATTTACCATTATATTTACCATTATATTTACCATTATATTTACCATTATATTTACCATTATATTTACCATTATATTTACCATTATATTTACCATTATATTTACCTACCATTATATTTACCTACCATTATATTTACCTACCATTATATTTACCTACCATTATATTTACCTACCATTATATTTACCTACCATTATATTTACTATTATATTTACTATTATATTTACTATTATATTTACCATTATATTTACCATTATATTTACCATTATATTTATCATTATATTTACCATTATATTTACCATTATATTTACCATATATTTTCTTTATTTTTTGACCAAGGAGCCTTTCCACATATTTAGAATCTATATAAAACCTATATTAAAGTCATGATTTAGAAACAGTATAGAAAATTATCGAGGTGCACTACTACTTACTACAACCCTTTTATAATTTCAGTACTGTCAACCATCTGTTAGAAGCCTTCAGATTAGTAATTAGTAGATGATAATAATAGATATTATGTGAAACTGTTTCTTCGAAATTCGAATAAAGCGGTATTGCTTTGACCACAGATTGACCATGCTTAAAATAATTTCAAGAGAGTAAATTATCGAAAAACTAGAGCTCTGGGTCAGATCTACCATCAGGATAAGACAATTAAAATCAAAATTTCATAGACAATAGATATTTAAGAAGGAAGTACAAAAAATAAACCATCCTAATTCTCTCAGAGAGCCAAGCAGCCTTAGAGGATCTTGATTCAAACAGAATCAAGTCAAAGCTTGTCTGGAACTGCCTTGGATTACTAAATGATCTGGCATCCCACAACAAGGTAAAACTGGCGTGGATACTAGGGCACAAAGGTATCCAAGGAAATGAAAAGGCTGATAAACTCGCCGAAGCAAAATCTCTGCTCGACAGTGAACAGGTGGATAACCACACCAAATTCACTGGCAACAGATAAGAGGGCACAGAATCAGTAAGCTCATGCTAAGGGGACCAAATCCACGCATTGATACTGAGTCACTACAACTCGCAATGCCTCAGATATCTACCATTGTGGCATTCTTAGATATCTGTAAAGGTCTGACTTCCTTACATACTGAGGTGCGTTTACTATTGTCCTTAATATTTTGTCCGAAAATGTTGTATTATATTTATGTATGATTTTTACTGGCACTCCCAGAGCTGTATGCCGTAAGTCCATACTGGTTTCAATATAATTTCGTATAATATATTAATTTTAATGTTATCATGAACAACGGTAATGGATTTTTTATAGCAGTTTTTGTGACTTGATTTTCTTTTTCCACTTCTTTGGTGTCCTTCCACTGGATGTTAACCATATCCAAGATTTTAAGTTCACATCGAAACATAATTCTAAACTTTTTAACGTGCCCTCCTGACGTTTTATCATTGTGTCAAAATTTAAATTATTTCTAAGGTGGTTAAAACAATATGATACGTGGTCAAACATGATAACACGTTGGTTGCATGGAATTAAAAAATTACCAAGTTCAGATGGCACTCGGCCTTTAAATAATTGTTTTTAATGTTTTGGTGCATGTGGGTGGTCAAACATGGTAAATCGATGGTCAAACGCATCAAACTTTAAAACTAAAATTTTAGTATTTCGAGGAAATCAGCTTCACACTGATAATGAATACCATAATTATACTGATTTAAAAAAAAGTAATAAAATTTAATTTATATAATTGTCAACTGTGGAGAGATTTTTTATAATATAGCAGTACGAAGAAGGCATTGATACTAAGCTATTAGTCAAAAGTTATGCTCGTAATGTCGGGTGTTCCTCAATGATTTCTATTAGTCCGTTACTATTTAATTGTTTTAAATATTTTTAGAATAGCTAATCATATAGAATGGATATAAATATAAGTTAATGCTTTAGCATAATATTCTGAACCGTAGTAGTATCTGAGCTTATTTGCCTTGTATCATTTAGTATACCTGATTAAGGAAGAGGAACATATAATCTTAAAAAGTTTACATCATTGGACTAATTATGGTTTAAACAATTCTATTCATAGGATTCCATGGACTACTAATTCATATTCTGAGACTATTCTTTCTTATCTTCTTCTTTTAAATTAAAACGTAAACGTACTGTATGCTTTTTCTCCTCACATTATATTATTCAGACTTTGAAATATTTTCCAGGCTTCCACGTGCCCATGAATTTGGCGGAACATACGGTAAAGGCATCATCGTGCGAAAATATCAACCGAATGGTATAATTACGATAAGAGTGGAGATCACAGCCAGTCATTGGGGTTACTTCGAATTTTCGATTTGTCCCAACTACAAGAACCCAACGCAGGAGTGCTTGAACCAAAACATTCTGAAGATACTGAAACCGCAGGATAATGTCGAACACAACGGATTCAGATATTTCCCTAAAGATGGAAATAAAGTCTATGAAATGAAGTACAAGTTGCCAAAGAAGTCGTGTGAACACTGCATATTGCAGTGGAGGTATATTGCAGGTATTAATCACTATTATTTTATTTTTGCTATTATCTACTAGTATATTACTTATAAATGATTTATAATCAAATGCTCAGCTATCCAAAATATATAAATAATAATTAAAGAAAATTTACAATAGTTTACCATAAAATATTTTTTTTAATTTTAATTTAACAATATAGGTCTGTTTCAACAACGATCAGAAACAAATCACAAATCACAACGCATATAATTTGGTGGTCCCAATAAACTACTGCGCAGGATTCGGAAGTCAGTGACCGGCTTCTGATCGTTGTTTTAACAGACCTTTAGGGTTCTGCTTCAAAGTGTAGAGCCTGTAGTTAGTGTGTCTACGTAAGTACACGTCATAAAGAAAATTTTTTAAAAAGTTGTGTCTAAAACCTAAAATACAACCATCTGATATCAAATGTTATCAGTCGACCAGTCGTATATGAAGTTTGTCAAAAAAAAGATACTTTACTCGAACAAACTCATATTTTTGACAATGAATGATAAAAACCAGCTTGAAAAACTTTACTATTAGCTTCATAGCTTCTATGGTTGTAATTTAATTCCAAATTCTTTCTTTTATCATAATTGCATCAACTTTATCGTTCTCAAAATGTTCAATAGTTTTAGTAACTTGTTCGTTGTGAGTGATTATCTTTTATATTAAATTAATAATCCCTTTTCGTTTTCAGGAAATAATTGGGGTCTTTGTCCCAACAACACCGGAGCCGTGGGATGCGGTCCGCAGGAAGAATTCCGTGCCTGCGCCGACATCACGATATCGGGTAAAGCGGACGACGACGTTTTGGTACCAGAAATCGAAGAACCACCTACCACGCCTTCGCTGCCATCCAGTACCATCTTGGTACCAGCACTGCCAACACCAGAAGAATCGTATAACCCAATAGCGGCTTTACTTATTTCATTTGTTTCTTTTTTAGTAGCATTTTCGATATTGTTCCTTCTCTATTTTCATTTCTATCATTTTGGTAGCCACGTCAAGGGATGGATTAAGGGATCCAAGGATAAGGTGGGGTTGGGGATGCCGCCTCAGCCACCGCCGAGGACAAGGAGGCGAAGCCCCTCGAGGCGGATCAGTGCTGATGGAATGCACGAGGTTGATTTGAGAACTGAAAGTTTGGCATAAAAGGATATAAAACATTCAATAATTTTTTTTGGTATATTTTGTTGAAAACAATGATTTGGCTCGGTATATAAAGAATGGTTTCTTATTGAATAAAAAATCCCCAGCGATTTAACAATGAAGAAGTTCCCACTACTAAGTGAGCAATTTTAAAGTAACAAAATGTATGTCTGATCGAATTTAGTGCATCTAAAACACCATATGAATCACTTTTACAGTACCATCTTCCTCATATAGGTATACAGACAAATGTGTAAGCTATACAATTGTTCTTACTATTTGGTCAGGAAATTAAATAGTTTTGGAGCTTACATCAGATCGCTTCTGTATTTAAAGATCATACTTCTTCTGTTTTAGAGCTATTTAGTCTTCACCAACGAGAGTATTTAACCAGAATTATTACCTTTTTGTAAAATATCTCGTATTCTTTTAAATCTTTCATTTTATTTTTATTATTTACAAGATTATTTGAAACATTAAAATTTTAAAATACTTTTTTACGACCTGAACACAATATAAAAAAAACAACGTAGGTATATGACAAATTCAAAAACCTATTAGATTGTTTTTGTTAAAATATACCTGTCATTGGAACACAAATAATTACGTCACAACAATACAGCATATTATCAAAAGTTAAATTATACTAATTACAAAGGAACAAAGAAAAGCAAAGCGCTTTCTAATAATAAAATGAAATAACCCAATGTATAAAGTAAATGGGGTATTTTTTGTTCGCTGTGAAACTATTTTTACGAATCACGTTTAGAGTACATTTGAATAATATTTATTCAAATATGCATTTCAGTTTAATTAGTGTCTTTTATTATTGTGTAATTGACAATTAATTATTAGCTACCTATACTATTTAATAATTTTTTTATGTACAGACTTTTTTTAAAATTATATCTTATAAACTATTAGCCAGAATAATTAATTGTATTGAAATTACTGTATATACGTAGTCTAGATAAAAATTTTGATTTCTTGAACAATTTAATAAATTTATTTATATATTTATCTGTTTTTATTACCAAACATTTTCAATCCAGAAATGGGTGATTACAAACTATGAAATTTTAAAAATTTGAGCTTATTACAAATTCAGGAAAGAAGTGGAAAACCTTGATTAATTTATTTATGAATACACGGACAAAAATTCGCCGCCAATAAAAAGTTATGTATATGGGACGAGTAAAATGTTTACTTATGGTACGTAAAACAAGATTTCTGAAACTAGTTACCTGCGGTTAGTGAACAGTTTATTTATATATTTTAAGACGAAGTGACTTATTTACTTACGATTAGTGATTTTAGTTTCAGTGGGTATTAATTCTGTATCTTACTACTAGTGAAATTTTTACGTTGGTTGGTTTAATTATACATATTTAATGTTATTAAAGTGTTTCTACAAGATAAATGCCTTTTATTAAATAGATATTTTTCCACTTCGTTGACGAATTTAAACTCGATCTTAACAACATGGTTTTGAGAAAAACAGTATAAATGAATAATCCCTAAATTTTTTCCTTGTATTAATAATTTTGAATTGTTTATTGGCTTTAAAACAACCAAAAACCATTAACTGCTTAAAAATTTAGAAGCACAAACCTTTCAAATTATTTTTTTCAAAATCATATTAAATTCAGTATATTTGGACAATGTAGGTACTAATGCCATTGGGTTTCCTCGAGAAGTGGTTTTCTCGATAGTTGGGTGTCTATTTTTTTACTCGAGGGTTTGGTTTTTCTCTAGTATTTTTTCCTCGAAAGTAACGTCTTTTTTCCAGGAGAGGTGGGTTTCTCTCGAATCTTTTTTCTTCGAGAGGTGGTTTTCTCTTGAGTCTTGTTTCCTCGAGTAGTGGTTTTCTCTCGACTCGTTTTTCTTCGAAATACTAACAGAATTTGGCGCCCTTAAATTTTGGAGTCACGTGCGAAGCATGCTCTGTATATTCACCAGGAGCGGCCCTGTATACACTTGTAACACAATCAAGTTAGTATTTAATGCTAACTACTCTATATTATTTTTTTATTAGTTATTTTTATATAGTGTATTTTAATTACCTATTAATAAAATTAGCTCTTATATGAGACACTTTGTATTGTATATGTAACACTTTTTCCCTCAAGAGAGAGCTTAAAATCGAGATTTTGGGAAATAGTTTTAATGTATTGCTGTATTCTAAAAATTACCTTTTTAATGGTGTGTCACACAAGGTACATTCATTTATTAACTGTTTATTTGATATCATCTTTAGTTCAAGAAATATAGCCACTAGGTTTTTAAATTGTCACTCTGTATAATAATTATCTCAACAATTAAAAACAATTTAGATATTGGAGGTTACTCCAATACGTAAATTGAAAACAATTAAGAATTTGTGCACGATAAAATCTTCAGCCTGAACACAATTTATTAATAGGTTATGTTATTCTTCTCTTCTTCTTTTTATTTGTGGAAAACAGTTAAAAAGCCATCAACGGCCCGTCTAATAGTTAAAGTTAAAAGCTATCTAATTAACAATTTCAAAAGGGCCATAACAGTTTTATCGTTGCTTGTGGAAAACAGTTGAAAAGCCATGAATATCTCATCGAATAATTAAAGTTAAAAGGCAATTAATTACAAAATTTCAACGGGGCCATAATTATTTTACTTCTGCACGTGGGAAACAGTTAAAAATCAATCAACGATCCATTAAAACACTACAGAAAAAGGGCAGTTAATTATAAATTTCAAAAGGGTCATAACAATTTTACAGTTGCATGCGGAAAACAGTTAAAAATACATCAACAGCCCATCAAAAAACTAAAATTAAAGGACATAATTGTAATTACAAATTTCAAAAGGGCTAGAGCGATTTTGCCGTTACAAGTTACTTTGCCAGCACATTCGTTAAAGCACCAACAACTTGTCACAACTTCAATGTTTGTTGGAAATTTTACAAACATTCATTTATCGTAGGCATGCAAATGCCTAAGTAGAGTTAACGGTATACCAGTGGTATATCCAGAATAGTTATTAAAAACCATCATTTTACGAAACATTTTTACTTGTGACAGAAATACATGATCATAAAAATACTTTAACTTATTATAGTTTATTTACGCTTTGTGATAGTTAAAAAATAACTATGTCAATCCTATTTTTGTTAAGTAAATAATTTATTTGTCATTAATTCTTCCATGAATAAAAGCCAATAAGAAAAATAAATTAAATAATTTCGTCCTTTTTATTATAAAAATTTTTATAATCCATATAAAAAATGTTTAAACTTAACAATACAATTTTTGACATTACAAAAACTAATAATTATCACTTGCTATTAGTAAAAAATTAATACTTATAAACACATTTTTTTATTATTTTTGTCAATTTAAAAAAAAATTATCTACTTATCTAAAAAATCTTCAAAATTAGCACCATTTTAAATTTTAATATCTACACCGCTCATAAATAACTTAAAATATCTTATAACCTTAAATTTGTTCAAAAAATCACATTTATTTCAATAGAATATGGATATCAAGCCATAGCAGTCTTAACCCAATTCATATATTTGGCAACATCACAAAACACTGAATATTTATTTGAAAGATCACATGTGCCGTTGTTGGCAGATATAGCTGAGGCTATACCTCTGAGATAGTAAGCCCCATCTAATTTGATGAAGAATCCGGCTCCGCTGTCGCCTATACAGGGACCTGTAGCTTGTTCACCACTCTCTAAAAGATAAAAACAAATATACATTAATATTTATCATCATATACGATTTTCATGATTGTATTTATTTCGGTTCATTTATGTTTTTATTTTTTCGTTTTATATTTTTTTTTTATAAAATAGTTTGTAATTAGTGTAAATATTAAAAGAATAAAATATTGATTTATTCTTTATCTCGATATTACTTACTTGTACAAAAAGTCTTGTCAGAAGTAAGATCTTGAAATCCAATTGGACTAGTCACACATTCTTGTTGGTCCACGATTGGCATATCTGCCCGTTTTAGTCTGACTGCGTGCAACATACCATTTCTTTGGGCATCGTCATCTTGTCCATAACCAGCTATCACTCCCGTTTTGTTAGTGAAAGGATGTAGATCTGAGTTACCTTTCCAAAGGCACACTGGTAGAAGTACTTTGGAAAATTGAACTGGACGTTCTTAAACAAAAAGAAGAGTATTATTATTAAATCGTTTTATCTATTCTCCTAAAGAATTTTGGATTGTAACATATGTATGGCGATACATAAAAGACCTATTGTGTCCTCTTTTATCCCAAAAGTGACAAGGGAATAGTCTCGATGCCTATAACGACCTTTCTAGTCCAATCTTCCCAAGGAAATCGAGAATTTGGAGTGACTTCAAGTTGGGTAAATAGTCCACTTCTATTTGTTATGCTCATAATTTATTCTAGATTCTGGAATGCTACACATTCAGTCAAAAAGTGTTCACAGAATTTACACTCACTATATCTTCTACTAGTTCATTGAGTGGCAAGAATCCCCGTTCCTATGCATAGTCTGTTGGTCTTTTCGCGGCCCAATTTTCTTTTTTTAATGTCTCCTAATATTCAGGGCCGCCGAGAGTCAGGTCGGACCCCGGGACAATTCTCCAGGTCGGGCCCCTGGACAACTTTATAAAAAACATTAGGCAATATTACATTTCTAAAAGAAAAAACAAAAACAAAGGTTTTCAAGCAAAAACTTCTTCTCCCCCTCTTTAGTGAAATCTTAAAAAAAAAGGTCCTCACCAGAGCTGCCGGACCCCCCTTATGCCGCTGTCGGGCCCCCACTTGAGCCTGGGCCCCTGGAATTAGTCCCGGCTATCCCCCCTCTTGTCGGCCCTGCTAATATTGTATTAGTACTGATACTACAAAATGGCGCAGGTCTCACAAAGGGTGTTTGAGTCTTTTTCGTTGAGGGACTATCTGCAATCTCCTTACCCTTTACTCCGCTGTGTTTCAGAACCCAAGTAATAGGACTGTATTTTCCTTGCCTAGCTCAGTCAATTTTTCTGGGCATCTCCAGACCATTTTTGAGCTGATTTTGTAAGAGCTCAGCGCTATTGGACATGATGATAATCTGTTGTTTCAGATAGTTTTGATCGACGTTGAACTGGATGCACTTCTCAATTGCGGGTTTTTTCGCCTAGAAGATGCTTGGGTATGTATTCAAACTTTCAGAGTACTTAGCTCTAGACCCATACACTCCTATTCCTGTTTTCTCTGTAGTTTTGGAACCATCGTATACCACTTTCGGTTGCAAATACGATTTATCCTTTCTTGCAGCCCAGCTATGTAGTTTTAAAGTTTTTTTACAAAACGGTTCTTCTTTCTCATTTCATCCTGGCGCATATGCCAATTATCTTCGGTCCTGGGGCTAATAGAATTTTGTCTGATTACTCATTTCCTCATCATTGCCACGTTCTTAACAATTAAATGGAGAGGTGCGAGATTTAAGATCATCTCTATTGCGGCCGTAGAACAGTCTTTGTAACTTTGAAATATTAGCTCTTGTAGTAACTAAACTAGTTCTATTACTCCAAGCTACAGCTCGGTAAGTGATTATTGGCCTCACTATTGTTGTACGCATCCATTGCAGAGTGCTCGGGTAAAATCATTATCTTCTACGCGCCATGTTTTTACATATAACATGAGCTTTCGCGCCCTTATTCACTGCTTTCTTCTATGTATGTTTTAGAAAAGTTTGTTGTCCAGGGTTACACCTATATTTCTAACTTCTATTTTTCATACTATATCGATCCCGTCTAATTTGACGGTTTTGAGATTGACTCCCCTTTTCCCTGAAAATACTACTAGTGTTGTTTTGGTAATATTAAATTAAAACCAAACGTTCTGCTCAAGATAGAAGAAGCAAAAAGCGAATACAGAAATCGTTTCAATAAATACTGCTAAAAACTGAATGGATGGGGCCGTGAATACATTTAGTCTAAGATCCGAAATAAGGTTGACCTTCACCCATCTGTTTACTGGATGAAAGTATTTTTTTAATAAATAAAATATGGTTTTAAATATACCACAAATGGGTTGCCTAAGACTATTTATTTTCTTAAAGATTAAAAAACGACACCCTGTAAAGTATTCCCCAAATGCTTTGACTGTGCCCAAACTTTAATCAGCTAATCGCAGGATATATTAAAACTTTAGTTCAAAATTTGGTGTTTTTCTCTTCATCCGTTTTTGAGTTATCTTCAAAATTCGTAATTTGCACTTTTCATCAAATATCTTAAATTAGGTCCATTTTAGGAAAATAATGTATAGAAACAAAATAATAGAGAATGACATCATAAACAACTTTTATCATGATTTTTATACTTTCCTTATCTGTACAAAGAGAGGAAAGTAAAAAATGGCCGTGACCGTATTTTCTTAGGCAACCCATTTGCGGTATATTTAAAAACATATTTTATTTAATAAAAAAAAAACTTTCATTCGGTAAACAGATGGGTGAAGGTCGACCTTACTTACGGATCCTGGACTAATTGAAGATGATCGAATAAGTGGAAAGCCCTTTAAACATAGCCAATCCTGATGTTGTAAGAAAGTGGAAAGAATGGATCTTAAAGATTGTCATGCAAAGCTCTCATTTCTAATCTTTGGTTGCAGATACTGACTTTTCCTCTGTAAATAAGAGTAATGAAACTTGGGTACATTACTGAGATTTAGAAGTAAAATTCAGCATAAATGGTTCCATATGGATTTTTCGACGCCAAAAAACATCATTTATTAGCAAGCAGTCGTATTTATTATTAAATACGTGTCAAATGGTATTACATAGTACAGCAGTATATTAACAAAATGACGTACCTACTACCTACTGCTATTAAGGACAAAATACCTGGTTTGCATAACAAAAAATGTTGTTTTTCACGATAACGTACAAATTCATAGGTTTGTTCCAACAAGAGACGAAACAATAATACTTCAATACAAATCATGCGCTGTATACAGTTTTTGTATACAGCGCATGATTTGTACCGAAATATTATCGTTTTCGCGCTTGTTGGAACAAGCCCCATAAGTCAGCCAAATTCTAACTCTAGACTAAATTGATTTTCTATTTGTTTTCAAAATAGCTATGGCTAATAACAAAAATGTTTAAATATTTACCCATTGTCAATACAGCAAGATCTCCATCTGCAGATTTAGAGTTATCTTTGAATGAAGGATGACTTTGGACCTTTCTGACTTTTCTTTGTATAGAACCGTTGCTTTGCCAGTTGGTTAAACTATTGGTTCCCATCACCAACAAAATGTCTTTAGTGTCCACTATTTGAACGTGATAATACTGAACACATCGGGCGGCTAAAAAAATAAAATTATTATAATTAAAGGATGTTCTCTTCTTTAGTAGTTTCCTTTCATTTCTAATTTTGGTTTCAGCATCATCATCTCAGCATAGGTCTTACATGATCCAAAGATATTATACCTGAGAGAATACCAAATATAAGAGAGATACTCTAAATTCAAAATTTCCTTAACATGTCATCCATCCTGCAGTTCAAATGAGTCCTCAGAAGAAAACTGAGAATTCAATAAAAAAGACGTTTTTAAACGAATTATAAACAAAAGCTTACCTACCTGTTAGAACATGGTTGTCAGATATCAAATTTCCGGAACAGATATACTGATATCCCGTTTCTCTTCTGGCCATAAAAGCAACCAACCATGGGTATTCACCGATGTCCGTGTCTTCGCTATTCAATATAAACGGTATAATATTATTTTTAGGATTGGATATCCCGCACTTGAAGTCTTCGTTAGCAGTAAAACTTGGAGAAGTAAACGTAGCAGGCACAGGAGGAGGGGTAGCCGATGTCGGTGGAGTGAACAAGTTTTCGACATTTGAAATAAAACTGAAATAATTTAGATAATGAGTGAAAATATGATTTAAAACTATTGTACTTACGTTGGATCAAGAGGGAACTTCTCCGGTCCAAACTCTGAAGTGTTTGGTTTGGTTTCTGGGTTTTTAGTAGGCACATCATTGTCGCTGCCACTAGCTGGCACCTCTGCAGGTCTCTCGTTTATTTGTGGCGTCACTGATGGTACCTGTACTGGCCTTTGCCACCATGGTTGCGTGGATGGTTTCTGCGGTTGAACTACAGGCCACTGCGGTTGCGTATTCGGTTTCTGTGGTTGAAGTTCAGGCCTCTGTGGTCTTTGGGGACGTTCTCCGGGATTTTTGGTTGGTAGGTCGTTGTCAGATTGATCTGGCTTCGGATCTGGTCGATAGAAACCACCATGTCTTCTCGAGAATGTATATGATATTTTGTGCCAGACGTTCGTTATTCCAGCGGTACCAGGCACAACTAAAAATGTCAATACATTTTGATTTTTATTGCTATAATCAAGTTATTTGAAGGAAATAAGATATTAGAGATAATACGGATACGGTTAGGTAAATATGACTCACCAGGTTCAGCAGGTCCACTACAATACGACCTTCCATTGTAAGCTATTCCGGTAATTTTGGGTATAACATCTTGAAATGGAAAAAAAATATTATAAATTACATTAGGTGTGTAGTCGTTAAGCTCGTGCAGCCCAGTAACCATTTTTAAAGTCAATTCCTGAAACACACAACATCAACGTATTAACACAATGCCAATATTTTTTTATTTCTTGAAGTATGTGTTGAAGACTGAAAAACTTTCAAGCAGTGGCAGAAATTTGTTGAAACCAGCACATCAACACAATATCTATATCTATTAAATAATGACGACTTACCGATTTTTTGAAACGTCCCACTAACGAAGCGTTTACAGTAAATTCCATATGAGTGGCGTTATCATATGGAATAACAGCTTCCCCATAAATTCTACCTCTGGGGTCTTTGAAGTACGAAAATATGCTTGGACATGGGTTCGGTGGAATTCTAACACCCAGTACAACTGGTATTAGTAATATGATTTGTAGAAGTTTATAGCGCATATTGAGCTGAATCTGGAATTAAAATAAAAATAGGTTATTTATTTGAATATAATACATTTTTGTACTAACAAAAAAATATAACAAAATTATACTTGAAAATATTATTCAGTAGGAAAGCAAGATAATCAGAATGATGTGTCGTACTTAATACTTTTACTATTTTAATTTTATTGGTTACAGTGACGGAGGGGAGGGTAAAAAATGTCATTTTAAATACTAAAATTGACCTATCCTAGAGTTTTTTTAACATCTACGGTATTAATATTTAAAACCTTCATGCCAAGTTTCAGTTGGACCACCTTTTATAATTAATATATGCTCTAATGATGTATGCAATGTTTTTTTTTTTAATTTGATATTTTAATACAGCACCTGGACAGATATGTATTGTTATTATTATAAACATTTAAATTTATTTGAAATATTATTATATTATAATTATTTTATATTTTAAACAAATGCATAAAAAAACTAGTCGACACTGAGTTTTAGTTAATATTTAATATTTAAAGATATTATTTAAATTTTATCTCAACTTAATCATCAATAAAATTTTTTAATTATTTCTATAATAAATTAAAATATTTATGAGGAAAGAAATTTGCATTGACTAGTGACTCATTTTTTGAATTACATTATTGCATTACTTTGTAAAATTATAATAAAAATGTTTACTAGAAAGGGTATTATTTTTTGATTTCCCTTTTTTAAATAAAATGTTTCCCGTTTTTTCGAAAATTAAGTGACTGAATAATTTTGAAAACAAATACTTGCAGATTTAGAAAGAAGCCTGCCGCAGCCAGGAATTGAACCCGGACATTCTTGGATGCTAGACAAGTGCCGTTCCTTCTTGACCATCACGACATTGACTGTCGAGAGTCCTAGATACAAATTTGATGTGTTAATTCGGGCCAGATGGCGTTCAAGCTCGTTCACAAATCTTCAAATATCTCTATTTAGCATCGGTATATATGAGAAATGCATTTATGTCTACTATCCCCGATCTATTAATCCCATATATTCCATATATATTTGAAAAAGAACAACTTTGAATTAATGTTTTCACTTTTGGCTACGGCTTTTTTCACATTTTCAATTATTCCTAGTTTACAAAAAAATTAAGCTCGGTGGCAAAAGTTCATTTGAAATATATTTTTTCTACATCCACATGGATATTGGCTTATCTACGCATAGACAACAAAACGTATATCATTGCGTTCAACTGAACGAAATATATTTTTTATCCATTCTAGGTAGTGAGAGCACTGCAACAAATGAAATCCACCAACTACAGTTCATAAGTGACAATCCTGTCAAACTAATTGTCAGTATATTTTTTAGTTATTGAGATTAAAATACATTAAAATGAGTTATTTTTGTGTAGAATCGCTAAATTAGCATTTTTAATTTTACTTGGTCCATATTTTGAAAAAAAAATTTAAATTTTAATCACAAATATGAAACTATTTTAATTACGAGTATTAAAACCAAGATCCTAAAAATAACCGTCGACGCGAGGACAGAGCGCTTATCTTCCACGCGAAACGCCCGGGATCGAATCTGGGCTGTGGACTAATTAGATAAAATCTTTTTTTTCATGTTTATTTTATTTTAAAAATCAGTGAAATTCATAAATTATTTTAAAATTAGTTATTTTGTTTTAATAACCTAAAATATTTTATTAAATTTGTAGATTTGCGTTATTGGGCCGTAGAAAAAATATACTGTACAACTTGATTGGATTGTCCACATTGTTGCACAAACTATTTTTTCTACGGTCATGCATAAAATAAATTTTTATTGAACTATATTTAGTGAAAAAACTGGGTCTTTATTTCACTAATGCAATAAAAATTGTATTGCACTCATCTGTCATTTTACTACAGCGTTTTATGATCATGACAAACATAAATATTCAAATCAACGCCAAATATTTAGTCCATTTTCATTTTCTGTGTTACGTTTTGAAAACAATTGCATATTTTATATTATTTTCAATCATTTAATAAATAAATTAATAAAAAAATGTATTTTATAAAAAATGTCATTACAAATTATGAACACAAACGTAAATAAATGCCTCAAATAAAGGTACACGATCACGGCCTATGATTTGGATAATACAACTGCAGTTCTATAAAACATTTTTTGGTTTTTGCATGAACGTAGAAAAAATATTGTATGCTACTCATACTTTTTGCACTTGTTGCATAAATAACTATATAAAAAAAAATTGGAATACAAACTCATTTTTGCAATATTTTGCTTTGATCATATACTAAACATGCACATTTTTTAAACCATTTTGGGGTCTATAGCGCTTTATTGAATTTCCTCAATAATTATTAGAGGGTACTTGAGATGTTTGACGGAAAAAAAAAATATCGCGACGAATTGAGAACCTCCTCCTTTTTTGAAGTCGGTTAAAAATGAAAAGAGATGACGAATAATATTGTATATGATATGTTGCTTATTTGAATAGTTTTAATTGTGAAAATATGATAGTTAAAAATAGATTTTTTGTTTTAGAAGGTCCGTTAGAATAAACTTTAAAAATCATCCAATTATAGACATCCACAGGAAGGGATACCTCTACTGTGGAACATTATCGATATTCTCATCAACCGCCTTAAAAATGACAGTCTCCACAGAATAGCGTATGCAGATAACTTGGTCGTTCTGCAAACAGAAACTATTGAGAACATACTCTAAGAAAAATATGCAAGCAGCTCTCAAAATTATGGAACAGTGGTGTATGGACCATTCACTCTCTATCAATCGCAAGAAGACAAAAATGGTCGTTTTCACAAGAAAAAGGATGAAAATTAAACTAAAACCTCTAGAATTCCCGAACATATTTAACAGAGGTGAAGTACCTAGATCTCACCTTTGACAGCAAGTTAACATGGAACTAACACCTAGAAAAGAGAGTTAAAAAAAGCATAAATCGCTTGTGAACAATGCCACTGAATCTAGGCCACCATAAGACCTATGTTAACATACAGAGTGTTGTCTGGGAATAGAAAATCAAACAATTGACAGCTATCCGCAAACTGGAACAAATTCATTGAAGAGAATGTCTCAATATAACAAGAGCCATGAAAGCCACACGAACCAGAGCCATGGTGATCGATACGCTTCCATTGCAGCTATATATTTTGTAAGCCTAATAAAGTTGTAAAGGACAAAGTAGATGAGCCGGAAATGGCAGGTACGATCTTCATCAAAGATTATAAAACAAAAAAGGCACAGGAGGTGGAATATACTTCGGTTTTTTAAACCTATACATAACATGGCCTGTAAGCAAAAGTGCCAGTCTAGTTGGAACCGAGCTCACGGGGATTCTCATAGCAACAAAATACATTATCAGAAACAGTATCACTGGAAAGAAAATGCCTATCTATACAGATGGCAAACAAGTACTACTCACCCTAGACAGACTACGAATTTTCTTAGGGTGAGTACTAGAATGTCACAAAGCTTTGGCCGAAGTATCATCTATCAGCAATGTGGTTACCTTCAGATGGATCAAAGGTAACTAGATAAGTAGGGAGCCAACCAAATATTTTTGGACCTGGCGCTTCTATTGGACTGACAAAAAGAAAAATTCTCTTGTGAAATTCAAGGAAAAATCGGATGAAACAAGAAGCTGCAGACTGCAGAGTTGCCAGGGAGCTTCTAAGTCATCCCGATAATACCACAGCAAACCAATAATTGACTGTGACTAGAAAGAATCTGCGCCTGATCACATGTATTATGATTAGTTATTGCCAAGTACGAAAGCACCTCCATTTATTGGGGCTGTCAGAATCCGCACTTTGCAAGGGGTGCGAACAAGAAAATGAGCCCATATACGAGTTCCCGACGCTCTCATTTATTAGAATATTTTTGTTCGGCGAGTATTGGGTAACACCGACCGACATAAGAGAAATACCTCTCGGCGACATTGTGAACTACTACATCAAATCTGTTTACAAAAATAATATTACTTCTAAACTTCCGTCTATGACGATGGATTTATCAATATTAAATCTTAAAAAGAAGTAAAAATAAACTTAACCTGTGACCTCTTGATTAATTTATAATAACGAATAGATTATTATTCTTATTTAGTATTAGAACGTAGTTTGTTTTGAATACAGATTTCGATTTTTAACAACCAGCAGCGTGTGGACAAAATTCACAGTGAATATAGAAAATACAACTTTCATGTTTAACAAAGAATCAGGAACTGTTACCTACTTTTACAAAATCATCGGTATTTCACATACATTTTTATAATTTATCTATGCTCGCTCTACCAATTAAATGTCCCGATTATAAAAAAATGGAATGGTTGACAAATTAGATTTATAATTATTGTCAGATTTAATTAGTGTTTCTTCTTTACAAACAACTTCTGTATAAAAAAGTTTTTTTCTACACCCTCGTGGATATTAGCTTATTTTAAAAATCAGTAAAATTCAAAAATTATTTTAAAATTAGTTATTTTGTCTTAATAACCTAAAATACTTTTTTTAATTTGTAGATTTCCATTAGTGGGCCGTAGAAAAAATATACTGTACAACTCGAGTGGGTTGTCCATATCGCACTCAGACTATTTTCTACATCCACATGGGTATTACCTTATCTACGCACAGATTACAAAACGAAAAAGTATGCTATTGCCTTCAACTAAACGAATATATTTTATATTCATTCTAATTAGTGAGAACACTGCAAAAAATGAAATCCGCCAATCACCGTTTATATTTTGATCAACCGACTGCTATTATTTTTAAAATTTTAAATAAGTGACAATTCTGTCAAACTAATTGTCAGTATATTTTTTAGTTATTGAGATTAAACATATATTAAAATGGGTTATTCTTGTGTAGAATTTATAAATAATAGCATTTCTTTTTTCATTTTGTCTATAATTATAAATAATTTGTTAATTTAAATAAAACCATTTGAAGTCAATTTAATTACGAGTATTAAAGCAACAAAAATAAAAGAGTAGTTGGTCTTGC